AGTCTAATGTAATATAAATATAATTTTCCATTTCAATAGTCTTGAATATAGAAGTGATAGTTATAACTATGAGCACAGAGATTTTAATTTATTTCAACAAGAAACAAGAAAGCCTTGCACAATATTTTTCATACCATTTTTATTTATTTGGAGGCTATATTACCATATCATTTAATGTTAAAAATTTCAAGAAAACAGTAGAGTATAATATTAAAAATGTAATTGCCACATTTCTTCAAGTCAGTGATCAAATATAGAATGACTCTTTTAATAATTAACTCACAACTTTTGTGCTTAAATAAGTTATACTTTACATGACTGCAAATATAATTATATCCTTAAGTTTAAACTCATGGCTCAGTCGAAAGAGAGATAACTTCAGAGGTAGGAGACCTGAATTCCAGTATGATAGTGTGAATTTGGACCCATGTATTAACCTCCTTGAGCCAAAATTTTTCACTCTGTATAAAAGGGATAATAAAAGTTTCTCTATCCACAAAATACTGTGTCTATTAAGATATTGTACATCAGAGAACTCTATAAAGTACTATTTGTTAAATATATCTTTATTGTTGAAAGTATTACAAATGTCCCCCCTTTCTTTCCCCATTGACCCCCTCCACTCTACACCCCCTCAAGGTCTTCACACTGCACTATTGTCTGTGTCCATGGGCTATGCATATCCTATATAATAAAAGCCTAATATGCTAAGTGTCTGATCTTCCGGTCAGCCATTCAACCAATCAAAGCATAATATGCTAATGATATGCTAAGGCCGCTCAACTGCTTGCTATGACATGCACTGACCACCAAGGGGCAGAAAGTTGACCAGTCGACCAGTCGCTATGATGTGCACTGATCACCAGGGGGATATGCTCTGACTGGTAGGTGAGCTTGCTGCTGGGGTCCAGCCGATTGGGACTGAGTGAGATGGGCTGGACATGCCCTGAAACCCTCCCGCAGCCCCTCCCTGGCTGGCCAACCTCCCATGTCCCTCCCCGGCCCCGATCGTGCACCGCTGGAGTCCCTCGGCCTGGCCTGCACCCTCTTGCAATCTGGGACCCCTTGGGGGATGTCGGAGAGCAGGTTTGGGCCCGATCCCACAGGCCAGGCCGAGAGACCCCACTGGTGCACGAATTTGTGCACCAGGCCTCTAGTATGCTTATAAGTTCCCTGGTTGATCTCTCTCCACCCCCCATGCCCAGCCCCACCTTCCCTCTGAGATTTGACAGACTGTTCCATACTTCTATGTCTCTGGATCTATTTTGTTCATCAGTTTATTTTGTTCATTAGATTCCACATATGAGTGAGATCATGTGATATTTATCTTTCTCTGACTGGCTTATTTTGCTTAGCATAATACTCTCCAGATCCCTCCATGCTGTCCTAAAGAATAAGAGATCCATCTTCTTTAAAGCTGCATAGTATTCCATAGTGTAAAAGTAGTGGTTAAACAAGTTAACATTAGTTCTATGTATATTATCTAATGCATGACAAAATTAAAATAGACTGAAATATTTGTTCAAGAATTCCTGCCTTAGAAGTTAGCATTATATTTTATACTAAACATAAATTTTGGACACACTGAGGTATGTTGAAAGAATAAATATTTATGTTTGATATTGAGGCACTCACTGAATAAGGTAAAAATAAATTACAATGTTTGATCAATAACTGTGGTATGATAGCAATTAATCAACCTCTGGGTCACTGCTTAATTAGAAAGCATAGTCTTCTAAAAATGATCTCAAAAACCTCAGCAACACATAATATCATGGTAATTACAGTAAATGTGTACATTGCAATGAGAAAGATGGTCTTCTCAAAGTGATCTGGTACCATGCATTTTATAATAGTAAACTTTCCCCCCAGAGATCCAGCATCACACAGGTAGAGAGGCGTGACTTGGAAACCAAAGAGGTGAATCTGAAGCCAAAATGATATCACCTCTAGACTGATTCTTACTAAAACAGAGACGATATAAACCACAGTGTAGATGGGCTTTTGAAGAATGCATTCTTGACTGATACTTTTAAATGCAGCATAAAGATGGAAAGTAGCACCAGGAACCAAGACAATCACTAGTTGTAGTGCCCAAAACACCTAAAGTATGTCAGAAATATCTTAGTCAAATCAATCAACATATAACCAAAATACACTTTAAAAATTCATTGATTATCAAGAGTGGCTAACTTAAGAATTCCAAGTTTCATAAGTCTTATAAGCAATAAAAATAATATAATGAAGGTAGTAATGAAGAACACCTCCCGCAGCCCCTCCCTGGCTGGCCAACCTCCCATGTCCCTCCCCGGCCCCGATCGTGCACCGCTGGAGTCCCTCGGCCTGGCCTGCACCCTCTTGCAATCTGGGACCCCTTGGGGGATGTCGGAGAGCAGGTTTGGGCCCGATCCCACAGGCCAGGCCGAGAGACCCCACTGGTGCACGAATTTGTGCACCAGGCCTCTAGTATGCTTATAAGTTCCCTGGTTGATCTCTCTCCACCCCCCATGCCCAGCCCCACCTTCCCTCTGAGATTTGACAGACTGTTCCATACTTCTATGTCTCTGGATCTATTTTGTTCATCAGTTTATTTTGTTCATTAGATTCCACATATGAGTGAGATCATGTGATATTTATCTTTCTCTGACTGGCTTATTTTGCTTAGCATAATACTCTCCAGATCCCTCCATGCTGTCCTAAAGAATAAGAGATCCATCTTCTTTAAAGCTGCATAGTATTCCATAGTGTAAAAGTAGTGGTTAAACAAGTTAACATTAGTTCTATGTATATTATCTAATGCATGACAAAATTAAAATAGACTGAAATATTTGTTCAAGAATTCCTGCCTTAGAAGTTAGCATTATATTTTATACTAAACATAAATTTTGGACACACTGAGGTATGTTGAAAGAATAAATATTTATGTTTGATATTGAGGCACTCACTGAATAAGGTAAAAATAAATTACAATGATTGATCAATAACTGTGGTATGATAGCAATTAATCAACCTCTGGGTCACTGCTTAATTAGAAAGCATAGTCTTCTAAAAATGATCTCAAAAACCTCAGCAACACATAATACCATGGTAATTACAGTAAATGTGTACATTGCAATGAGAAAGATGGTCTTCTCAAAGTGATCTGGTACCATGCATTTTATAATAGTAAACTTTCCCCCCAGAGATCCAGCATCACACAGGTAGAGAGGCGTGACTTGGAAACCAAAGAGGTGAATCTGAAGCCAAAATGATATCACCTCTAGACTGATTCTTACTAAAACAGAGACGATATAAACCACAGTGTAGATGGGCTTTTGAAGAATGCATTCTTGACTGATACTTTTAAATGCAGCATAAAGATGGAAAGTAGCACCAGGAACCAAGACAATCACTAGTTGTAGTGCCCAAAACACCTAAAGTATGTCAGAAATATCTTAGTCAAATCAATCAACATATAACCAAAATACACTTTAAAAATTCATTGATTATCAAGAGTGGCTAACTTAAGAATTCCAAGTTTCATAAGTCTTATAAGCAATAAAAATAATATAATGAAGGTAGTAATGAAGAACATATCTCTTTTAATTAATAAATTAAATTGTGAAAATGTAGTCATATTATACTATCATCACCTACCAATTATCTAATATTGTTGAAATACTTTATTTTAGTAGCTATGTAATTTCCATTTTCTAATTACAGGCCTGGAGTATAATTTTAACATCAGTAGATAATAAAATGTTGGAAGAAACTCTCAATCAACTCAAATTAATTTACCTGAAATAAACAACTGGTTAAAAATAGTAATAATTCTAGAAATTATACCTATTAAGGTATTTTTAATTTCATTATGGCATTAATTTATATTTAAAAGGAAACAATTTTATCTGGTGTAGAGTAAGGCTTATGGGCACACAGAAAAACTTACTTGTGGAGTGATTGGCCTGAACTGATTGTAACAGAAGAGGTTTATTTCTCTCCTGTCTGGATCACAGCTGAAGTGCAAAGCCTCATTCCCGTAGACTGCAAAGCCTAACACCCCAAGAAAGAACATTCGGATGGATCCAAAGAAAAGGGTGTGGAATTGACCAATCACAGTTGGAGGCTTCACCTATTATAGTTTTAGGAGAAAAAAATCTTTTGAAAACAAACATTAAAGGAGGACATTTTAAAGGTTTTTATTCATTGTCACATTTTTTAAAATTTAAGATTCATAAAGTTTTGAGGCAAGAAAGAACCTTAGAGATCACCAAGCCCAATGCAAATCCTGTATTATGAGATTTCACCCCTTTTCACTCTGAAAATATGAAGGGCAGCAGTGACAAGTTACTAATCAAATGTATAATTTTGGAAATATTTAAAAAGCTTAAAATTCAATTAATATCCCTAATCCTTTTGTAATAAAATCAAGAAAATGTTAGAATATCTAGGACCTCTTTTGGAAAAGTAAATAACAAATCTAATAATAAACTCACGCACTAACTTAACAACCAAATAATGATTATGTAGTTCTCATTCCAGTCTATTTCCTACTACTTTATTGAATTGCAAGACAGTGAACTACTTTAAACAGCAACAGCTAAAAGTACTTCCTCAAATATCCTAATTATAGTTTTAAATTCAGAATATTTTGAAGTATATGGTTAACCTTTATATTACTCTCCATATATGTAGAGGAACTTATTATTCATTGACACTCACAAGAATCGTGTTAAAATACACAGACTGGACTAATACATTTTAAAAAAATTTGTATAATACTTACACATCCTTCATAGAAGTTTTTGATGTAATTTAGAGACATGTCTCAGGAGATGTTATCCTCGCATCCCTGTAGGTTAATTCTTGACCCACATTGCCAAGTTTGTTTCTGCCAGAGTCAAACTCATGTTGTGTCACGACTTTTACAGCAGAAATCTCTTATCACTGCACATTTCTTTCCCCTCATCCTTATTTTCTGTGTGTGTTTTTTTTACCCCCATAGATCTCTGGGGCCCCAGTCAAATGGGCTTTTGAAGAATGCATTCTTGACTGATGCTTTTAAATGCAGCATAAAGATGGAAAGTAGCACCAGGAACCAAGACAATCACTAGTTGTAGTGCCCAAAACACCTAAAGTATGTCAGAAATATCTTAGTCAAATCAATCAACATATAACCAAAATACACTTTAAAAATTCATTGATTATCAAGAGTGGCTAACTTAAGAATTCCAAGTTTCATAAGTCTTATAAGCAATAAAAATAATATAATGAAGGTAGTAATGAAGAACATATCTCTTTTAATTAATAAATTAAATTGTGAAAATGTAGTCATATTATACTATCATCACCTACCAATTATCTAATATTGTTGAAATACTTTATTTTAGTAGCTATGTAATTTCCATTTTCTAATTACAGGCCTGGAGTATAATATTAACATCGGTAGATAATAAAATGTTGGAAGAAACTCTCAATCAACTCAAATTAATTTACCTGAAATAAACAACTGGTTAAAAATAGTAATAATTCTAGAAATTATACCTATTAAGGTATTTTTAATTTCATTATGGCATTAATTTATATTTAAAAGGAAACAATTTTATCTGGTGTAGAGTAAGGCTTATGGGCACACAGAAAAACTTACTTGTGGAGTGATTGGCCTGAACTGATTGTAACAGAAGAGGTTTATTTCTCTCCTGTCTGGATCACAGCTGAAGTGCAAAGCCTCATTCCCGTAGACTGCAAAGCCTAATACCCCAAGAAAGAACATTCGGATGGATCCAAAGAAAAGGGTGTGGAATTGACCAATCACAGTTGGAGGCTTCACCTATTATAGTTTTAGGAGAAAAAATCTTTTGAAAACAAACATTAAAGGAGGACATTTTAAAGGTTTTTATTCATTGTCACATTTTTTAAAATTTAAGATTCATAAAGTTTTGAGGCAAGAAAGAACCTTAGAGATCACCAAGCCCAATGCAAATCCTGTATTATGAGATTTCACCCCTTTTCACTCTGAAAATATGAAGGGCAGCAGTGACAAGTTACTAATCAAATGTATAATTTTGGAAATATTTAAAAAGCTTAAAATTCAATTAATATCCCTAATCCTTTTGTAATAAAATCAAGAAAATGTTAGAATATCTAGGACCTCTTTTGGAAAAGTAAATAACAAATCTAATAATAAACTCACGCACTAACTTAACAACCAAATAATGATTATGTAGTTCTCATTCCAGTCTATTTCCTACTACTTTATTGAATTGCAAGACAGTGAACTACTTTAAACAGCAACAGCTAAAAGTACTTCCTCAAATATCCTAATTATAGTTTTAAATTCAGAATATTTTGAAGTATATGGTTAACCTTTATATTACTCTCCATATATGTAGAGGAACTTATTATTCATTGACACTCACAAGAATCGTGTTAAAATACACAGACTGGACTAATACATTTTAAAAAAATTTGTATAATACTTACACATCCTTCATAGAAGTTTTTGATGTAATTTAGAGACATGTCTCAGGAGATGTTATCCTCGCATCCCTGTAGGTTAATTCTTGACCCACATTGCCAAGTTTGCTTTTGCCAGAGTCAAACTCATGTTGTGTCACGACTTTTACAGCAGAAATCTCTTATCACTGCACATTTCTTTCCCCTCATCCTTATTTTCTGTGTGTGTTTTTTTTACCCCCATAGATCTCTGGGGCCCCAGTCAAATTTCCTATCTCTGTCCCAAAACAAAGAAACAAAAGCATCGGGCATGTGGTCAATTTAATAATAATGCCTTGATTTACACTGTCAGCACAGCCAGCCAGACAGGAGTGCCAGCAAAGCAGTAAGCCAGACTGACAAGGGCCCCAAGCATTCAATGCTTCTCAATTACCTGAGAATTGTTCATATGTAAATCAGCAAACTGTGGCTTATAATTTTCTAAAAAATATATCATGACCTATTATTATCATTATTTTGGCTTTCATTTATATGTGTCTGAACAAATAAGTGCAAGGAAATATTCTTGATTCATTCTTGTTTTCTTCCATGGAATAGACCTAATTTCTGGGAAGTTTAAGAAATTATAATATAAGTTATGATAGTTATTACTTTATTACCTATTACTGATGTATTGCTATATTTTTCTTTTGGCTGCATGCTTACCACAGATATGGGAAAATCTGAAGTTAGAGCTCTGTTCTAAGGAAAAAGATAGGGTACTGCTAACCAGGATGAGACCAGGATCTAGCAGAAATCATGTGAATAATTCCCCTTCTTTTGTCTTTCAGTAGGTATGCATCATCTGCTGGACGTTGTTATGGGTGCTGATGGTTAGCAGGGACCAAGATAGACAAGCAGTTGCCTTCGGATCGATATATCTGCTTAATATCTTCCATCTACCCAGAATGTCATGCAGCCAATGGTGGGTCAAATCTGCTTTCTTAACCTGCCTTTCTCATCTTTGTTTTGTTTGTGATCTGCAAAAGTTGTGACTACAGAAAACTTCATTGCTCTCTTCACCAAGCGGAAAAATGACTACATAACACATGTAACTGTCACCAACGGTCAAGGGACAGTGGCTTTGTTGAATCAGTGTTGTCTTGGATAGAAAAATGAAATAAAAAAGAACAACATAATGATCTTTCAGAGCTGTTGGATAAAGCAGTTTGAGTATTTGTCCTCTTCTCAGAAACAGAATTATAGGTTTGCTATGTGTTGATGTCTTCAAGGGGTTCCCAAAAGTCACAACAAACATTTGCACAGAAAGAATTCTGTTGGACTTCTACCATTATACAGTAATGAATTTTTTTTGTGTTTAGACAAATACATACCAGTGTCAGACATGTAAAAAACCAGCAGTCTTCCTGTGTTCTTTCAGAGATAAACCATATAAACCTGAAACATAATTGCATGTGTAGAAGAGAAAAATGCAGCATCATTTTCATTGTTGGTAACTGTGAAGGACCAAGTAAATAATACCAGTCTCACTATTATAGAGTATCATCCAACTGAGTTGTAAAACAAAGGGATATGGCAGATATCACCTGAGTATACTCTTATTAACATAAAGATTAGGTTGGAGGAGAGACATGGCTTGTCTCTTTGGGAAAGTGTTATTCTTAGATGCCATGCACACCTGGTCAGTGCCATATCATGGTTTCCTTTGCTTCATGGAATGCCTCCCTGACTGTAAGATTTATGCATGAGAGGAGCAGAACAGAACTGAAGACACTTGTGGACAACTTGTTCCTAAGGGAAAAGTGCTGCAAAATAAATGACGCATGCCCAGTTTTACCTTCCAGATGTAAAGTAAACTCACCATAGAAGATAGCAATTAATAGTGAAGCTGGCTTCACATGTATGGCAATTGGTAGGGCTGTTAATTAGGATAATAACCTGAGCTTGTTTACATGTGAACAGCTGCAGGGTCTAAAAGTAGAAAAAGAGGGCAATCTCTAATGTGCAAGCATTATTTAATCCTTTGCTTGCTTCATGTCTGCTATTACATTAGGCAAAGCAAGGTAGCGCCAACTCAAATTTAGGAAATAGCTTCTGCCTTTTATACAGTCACATTGCTTCAGGGATTGTAGCTAATTTTATATTTTACCACAGTGTGCCCTCTGATCACATATATTCATATCACTCCCACATGTCTTCACCCTCATCCTGGATGTCATCTAATTACAGCATTAGGATTGAAGTCCAGGATTTTGTGATTTGTATCACGTTCAAATCTGGATATGACTCAGATGTGGCTCTTTGTCATCCAGAATCTAATGAAACAAAAGGAAAAGTTATCTTCCACACAAGATCAATGTACGACGGTGACAGAGGGGTAGGATGACTTCAATAGACACTTCCACTCCAAAAATGGAAGAGCAGGAGGCACACTGGTGTCACTAGTTCATAACAATTCTGAAATCTTTTGGGGATGATATTGCTCATTCTTCCTACTCTGGAGGGAGGGGAGTGTTCCATGAATAAGGCACAGTACTATTCCCTGAGAGCTGCTCTCTAGTCTACTGTACTCCACTAGAGCAGGTGGGGAAAGAATAAAAACAAGCTAATCTGTAAATGCATTATGCTTATTAAATGGCCTGCATTGCTAACTAGTGTTTTAAACAAATTATCTCCCTGAATTCTTACAACTCCATGAAGTATACACTCTTACAGGTCTATTTTGCAGACAAAGTTTAGAGGGTTTAAGTAATATATTCAAAGTTACAATTAGTAAGCGGCAAAACCAGGTAGTGGCAGATAGTGACTGAGTTGCTTGTTGTTAACTGGTAGGCTACAGGGCACATGAGAAATATTGTTAGGTTGATTTCTGGAGCCTTAAAACATGGGGAGTTAGGGAGAAATAAGCTCAGACTTTCTTCTGTGAAGAGCTTAGGGGATTATTGGGGTGTAAAGCATCTGGAAAGGGCTTCAGAGCTTGGCCCTTTGCCCATGCTCCTGGCCAGATCTCATGTGAAAAGGAAAGGCCAAACAGAGAACTAACTAAATATCCTATGTGCCAGGGGATCTCTTGAGAAGCATGAAGGACTTCACAGAAATGAATTCAGCACATGCTTCTTTCTCATTTGGAGTCAGTGTGAGGGAAAAGGAACACATGGTACCAAAGATCATGGGCTCAGGAGTCATAGAAACTATGTTTGAACCCTGGTTTTACCATTTGGCTTGATTTCAGGTCTCAAAAAATATTGACTCTGAATCTGTTTCTCCAATGGGGGATGACAATAGTATTTGCCTCATAGGGTTGTTGTATGTCAATTACTAAAGCATTTGGGGGAACATTCCTCCTGTCTTTAATGAGAGCCTGAGCCATCTATTATTTTGTTAAAATATATTTTTATTGACTTCAGAGAGGCGGGGAGTGGGAGAGAGAGATAGAAACATCAATGATGAGAGAATCATTGATCAGCTGCCTCATGCACACTTCCTACCCAGATTGAGCCCACAACCTGGGCATGTGTCCCAACTGGGAATGAAACCATTACCTCCTGGTTCATAAGTCAATGTTCAACCACTGAGCAACACTAGCCAGACGTGAACTATCTATTATTTTCTATTAATTTCCCTTTTGTTGTAGATTACAGAAAATTAAAAAAGTAATCATCTTTCTTAAGTAAGGAAGAGTACTACTTCTCCAATGTAAAGAATCTTCATGTTTATCAGAGTACAAAGACTTGATGTCTTTTTACAATGTCTATCTATCTCTTTTTGGGAGGGGGTGCACCTTCCTTTATTTATTTTATTTATTTTTTTAAAATATATTTTATTGATTTTTTTACAGAGAGGAAGGGAGAGGGATAGAGAGTTAGAAACATAGATGAGGGAGAAACATCGATCAGCCGCCTCCTGCACACCCCCCACTGGGGATGTGCCTGCAATCAAGGTACATGCCCTTGACTGGAATCGAACCTGGGACCCTTCAGTCCACAGGCCGATGCTCTATCCACTGAGCCAAACCAGTTAGGGCTATGTACACCTTCCTTTAGAGACTATTAAGATGCAAAGACATGGACTTCTGTTCAGCATGGACTAGTGGATCGACACCTGGGAGTGCTTTGAGTAAATTTAATCATTAAAATTACTTCTGTTTTCCCAGCCCTAAAGATTAAAAAAATGACCATAACATCTCCAGCAATTTTCTGAATAAAAGACTAACATTTGAGGAAACCACATTGGCTTGCTTGCTCAAATTTGCTAAAAGCTTTTAATTTCAGATAGAGGAATGAAGGCAAGCTCAGATCTGCCACTTCTATGATGAACACACACACACACACACACACACACACACACACACACACACAAATTGCTGACATTTCTTGATCACCACTATCTTCCAGTACTACTCTAAACCCTGAAAGTCACATATAGTCTTTGAATATATATTCTTGGGCTCCTAAAATTTCTGAGATTAAAAACATTTAAGGCTTGTTTGGTCTAATCCTGAAAGGGGATAGACTTCTAATTTCATGCAGAACCCAAGACAGGGTTGACTGAACTAAAAGTATAGAAAAGCACTACCCATGATGGCTAACACATGAAAATCAATCTATAAATGTTATTTGTTATTGTCATTTACAATCTTCTCTAATTAATACTTTAAAATCTAGTTACATGTATTGCTTCAGATCTATGCTTTTCCAAATGTTTGTGCTTTTTCACTCGTTTTTTTTTCATTCACCCAATAAATATTGAGCACCTACAGCCACCAGCTGCCTAGCTGCTATGCAAGGTATTGGGAATGTGTGAGAATAATGCAATCCCTGTCTTCATGGGGCTTACAGAACAACATGTGTGCCTGAATCTATGTATGTATGTATGCATATGGTTGACATATATTTTTGATAATTTGCTTAAAGTAAAGCATTTATATTTAATTCTTTAGAGTACAGTCACAAACTATTTTGGATTATTTTACATGTGGTAAAAAAGGGAAAATGACCTCTCTATAAGTATCCTTTTTAACATCCTTTGATTTTCAGAATTTTGCATTTTGTTACTTTACCTTCTTTTTAATGAACTACCTAATGACTGTTGAATAGGATGGAATAGAGGTCAATTTAGATAGTCAAAATA